CATTCGCAAACTAATTGCTGCATTCTTACCTGCGAGCAGTTTTCATTAAATTATATTCATTGCGTAATATTTCTTGATTTTGAAAACTGAGTTGAAACTTGTCCGTAAAAAAAAAAGTGAACGTTCGAGACTTTAAATTAAGCTCACTTACGTGGATCAGCCGATCTAGGAAATTATACACAAATAACACAGTTATTTTATTGTTCCTCGTAAATAACAACTAAATAATTCGCCGCGATGTTTGTATGATACTTCCTTTTTTCAAACGATGTTTTGCAATGTAGAAAGTCCATTCTTTTCTCTGATGTTCCTGTGTTTTACTTATTTCTAATTAACATAAACCAACTATTTTTATAATGGGATGAGTGAAAATATGCTCAGCGATGGAAAATTGTTGCTTCTTCGACAAATGATAAAATGTATTGCTCCGATTTGCTACAAGTTCTGAGCTCGAGAATAGATGCTTTGATTGGAAGTAATTCCATCTCTGATACTTGATCCGGTTAATGCGAGGTAACTTTCTGAAATATAGAAAGTATAACATTCAATAATGTTCAGAAATAATATTACTAGGTAAGACTACGTGTCTTCGGTACGCGATTATGTGTTATTAAACATTAAGACGTATTGAGACTTTAAATATTATACGATATTTTCTATGTGTAGCCTTCGGCAAGCCTTGCGGCATAGATTGTATTTCGTACTCCACAAATTTTTTTTTTTTCATTTCAATAACAATCGTGAATAGACACATCATAGATTGCGGATTTTTATGCAAATTTATATTTTTGTAATTACATGAAATCTTTTATTTTAGATACTTCGTGTATATTTTTATTGTTACATATATATACATATGTTTTATATATTTTTGTACATACAGATATTTAAATTATCATTCTTTATTATTCAATTTTGTTTTTAATTTTTTGCACGTTTATTTCACAAAGTATTAGAGTGAAAATTTCTATAAAATATTAACACGTTTTTTTTAATTTTTCGACAATGCTTGATTAATCAGTTATATTAATGATTAACTTTTAGCATAGAGTACGATTGATCGCATTGCAATCATCCATTGATCACTGTAATAAGAATGAATGGGATGTCAGTCAATAATTGACAGCCAATGCAATCGTACACTATGCAATGCACATTCGACTATGCATACGTGTCATCTTGTCTGCACGGTTGCCACTCATGGTATTCGCATCTTACTTGATTACGACTAAACTGTACACCGTACGGTTTAAAACCAAGTTAGCGTTCTATGAATGAATGCACGTGCATCACGTATTATTGGTCGATGCACGTACATACGTAAAAAGCCAAAAAGAGATAGTAAAAGAAAGAAAGGGATAAACGGAGGAAACGGATAACTGGAAGAACGTATTGCCGGTTACTGCTTGATCCTACAAAAGTTTTGAAAACCAATTTAATTCTGTCGCATTAATCTATTATAAGTAACTATGATTTTTATAAAGAATACAATTACTAGATTTATATAAGCATATCTCTTTTTTTTCCTCATAAAAAAGAGGAAGCAAAATATTCATCAAAAAAAGCAAATATAAGTGAATATTATGTAAAATTCGTTAAACACTTCCTTAATGAGTGTTTAAAGTATCCTATTATTAACAGCCAATCGTAAAATAAGTGAATCTCTATGAAAATCTTTAGAGTAATATAGTTTGTAAAGGATACATTTTAGATACGGTCAAATAACGTATGTTCTATGTATTGTGAAATTTGATTCTTGACGTTCATCAGATTTATTGTTGTACTATACTATGTGCTTCTGTCAATATAATTATGTATGTATATTTATCTTAGGAAAGTAACAAGAACCCACAGCACACAAGAATAATGATTCGTCGAACTTGATAATGATCGTTCAACAGTTGGATCAAATTTTGCTTCAAGGATAAATTTTATGATAATTTTCATTGTATTTGTTTCAAGCTCAACTTACAACGTACAAAGACACTTGCATGAGTTCAATACCTAATTTCATAAGAAACGAACGTCTGTGGGAACAAACTGGAAATCTGATATGTAGATATATGATAACTTTATGCTCATTATTTTTTTTTTATATTTGCAGATATATACCAAATCTTGAATTATATATATATGTATAATCATATTTGGTATAAGCGTTGTATAAAAAATTTACTATAATTTACTATAATAAATTTTCATACCAAATCTGTAATTCCATACCAAAATTGTAATGTATTAAAATATAAAATGGATATGAAGATCGTGTCCAATAATAAAGCATTTTTTCTGATTTCCTTCTGTGCAGATTCATAGATGCTGTCGGTCAAATACTGCGAAGTAACATATGCTGGACAATTAATTGAATAAAAGCGAAGTCTAATGCTTCTTGATACTCCGCGTTCTTTGCGCGATTGCTCGAGAGTACCAACGACCTGGAATTCGTATAAATTGAAGTTGAATGATAAAGCCTTTTCTAGGGCATTCTTTGTTGAATAAACTCATTACCACCCACGATTTTATATTCATTTTTGAAGGGGACTGCAAGGTTGACAAATTCTTTTTTTATCTTCATTTTATCATATAAGAAGAAAATCCTTTTTTCGTTTTAATTTCGATTTGTCGATTGTGATTCATCACATTTTCCTAAAAGAATGACATTTAGTTTCACGATCATCAGATGCATGTTCCCAACAGATCGAATTTATCTATTAGTCTGTTAATCTCTTGGAAATAACGTAGCATCAAACTCGACCTTCCCCTAAACGTTTTTAGCTCAGCAATGAACATCTGCACCTACAACGTGCAGCCAACCCTCCAACCGAAAATAGAAACTATTATGATGGAGCATCTGTACTGAACGTAGAACGAGTAGGAAAAATCTTAGAAAAATATGGTATCAAATGTATGCCATTTGCCAAAATAGGAAGATCATGAACGTTTGCGATGTACATAAGACTAAATTGTTTAAAATTTTGAGAAAACTGGCAGTTGTAAAAAGAAGGAAACGGGCATAGTTCATTATTTACGATTGGACGTGAAATGCGTCAGATCAAATGCGTCAATGATACATCTCGCAGGAAGGACGACCAGCAACACATCTGCAAGTCATTCATATATAGACTTTATCAGTAAGGTTAATCACAACGTATGGAAGAACGCTTACGATAAGAACTGAAAAAGAAAATGTATATACGTATATCGAAAATTGCGCATATACGAAGAATAATTAGCATGTAATCAGTATTAATACAAAGTGAAAAATCACTGATAACTGATAATTTGCGGTTACATAAAGAGATTATGCTAAGAAAATTACTGGATTTTTTGAAAATAGCCATAATTAATGGGCTACGAATGAATTAATGAAAATCCATATCTAATTCGCAAAGTATTATGCAATGCAGTAATACATACAAAATTCATGACAGAAACGTTGTTTAGAATGTTTTCAAGTTTATTCGAGCATCAATGATTCGAGAGGAGTCTGGAATAAGAATGTTTCTGAATCTAATTGGTGTTATAGCAGAAGGTCAAGGTTGTGGTGACATGACATATATAGAGTTCAGCGAGCTGTCGTGACGGCTATTTTCCACTTCGCTCCTCATACTTAAAATCCAGTGCTTTCAGATAGTCGAAAAGTTTCTTTATCGAACATGCTCGTATAACCAGGAAACAGAAATGTTGATACGTATAAACATTTGCAGATTGATTACGGATTTTTAATTCATGCTTTTGAATTTTTATACCAAAGATCAATCAACACTAGCTATTTAGAATTCAATGTTTTCGATCATTAATATCCATTAATATTCATAGTGTTTCAATGACGCAACGTGTCTGTCTATTACAGGTGTTAATGCGCATAAAATCTTCTATATTTAAAAAAAAAGTCTATGCAATGGTATTGACAAATGTAATGATAGTATGCGAATCTGTGATTATGAGCACCGCTGCTAAGGTGACTGCGTATCATCATTGTGTGTGGACATACAAGTATACGTTCGCATGCCGTATGGCCACTACACTCTATACTCTATACACGGATGTATGCTATACGACCGTACGATATCATGAGATGCTAAAAGAGAGGTAAGGGAAACCCATGTTGGTTTCTATCCTGTAGCTACGGAATCGCTGTTTAAATATCCGGTTCCAACTGTTTCCAGTATGCAGCCAGTGATATTTGATCGAGAAACGTTCCCATCCAACCTGACTAAAAAAATTAAAGAAACTACATACCAGAGATCTAAGCGATTATAGATGAATCTTTTTAAATTGTAATCGCAAGGACAGTTTTTTTTAGTCATACTGCTTTTCCACGTTTTTTTCATCGGTCGTTGATATGTTGAATAGGTCAAGGATTATTGACATAGCAAACTAGAAAAGTATAGCAGAATGCGAAGTGCAGTGCGGTTAACGATTGTTTATAAAAGCAGATCACACAAACCATCCATTTGTGCTTCTTAACGATCTAGTGACTAATTCTTCGAAGAAGACCCGCAGGTGCAAATGGACGGAGCTTCAGCAACACCCTTGGCTATTTTCCTATTTACTTAATTGATCATTCTGTGGTCGTTCATAGTCGTTACAGGCACTTGGATCTTCCATACTATATAATAAAGAAATTAAAATCCAAGATACGGGTCATAATTGATTGTGTAAAAAATAAAAAAGCATACCTTTACACCGTGTAATAGAACGCGATAGTAAAATTCTCTTGTAATGTCTATGGGCTCGAGGCCAGCATCTCGCAAAAGGTTGCGGCCAGTACTAACAATAAACGAATAATTTTCCTCAGAAACAAATTCCTCCTATTTCGTAACCAGATTACCATAAATATTTCTTTTTTGTTCTTTTCTTGCAATTAATTCATGTTTATTTTATATTCAAAGAGCTTAAGAAGCATAGTGTAAGCAGAACATACGCTTTATCGAGTTAGGAGTAGATGGGAAAAACATCTGTTGAAATTCGGTATGTGGGTATTTCATAATTGTCTAATGAGACTGGATATGTACATCTTATTATTTAGCCGCGAATTAAAATTAATAAAATGTGGAAACTGCAATACAAACAGCGTAACTTGACGATCGTCAAACAATCGATGATAAATGTATGTGACGTATGTGTACTCTTTTACTTTTATATACGGTTAGAAAGCGTATAAAATTACAGGAAGCATCGACTATTCGCTTTTACTTTGAAGATTCGCGGATATTCATTTCGTTGCACAAATAATTGCGAAGGAAAAGCGATTATAAATTTTACTATATAATCAAAAATTTATAATCGTATAGAGGTTCGTAGTGTATCGCTAAAGATTGTACATGTACATTTATTATATTAAAAAGTTCATAATCATCATTATGAAACACATGCACTATAGAATGTTTATTTTGCTCACATAGCATCCTGTTTTTTTTGATTGTGCACATGTTTGAATTAAAATACAGTTAATATTCTATGAAGAAAAAATTATAATTATATGATTTGTGTAATCATCATAACATTATATGTAGCATATACTACGTATGCATACATGGCCTTCATACCTTTGTCATTGCACGTGCGAAATATAAAGAACAATGCGTCTCATAGGTAATTTAAATGGAAGATTTAATGCTTGTTTATATACGTTGGTATGCAGATACATCTGGAGGCGAATTCCTAATTCTGATGCCGTGCTGGTCTCCACCATAGTATACATATAGAGTACAGCTGCACTTACAGTTGCACGACCTTTCCTATTCTAGCTCTTAAGCGACCACTGCCAACTTAAATCTAGTCGTTCACCAAATCTTATATGAAACATAATAAATACAATTTCTAATTTATTTTATTCTTCAGCTGATAACGAGCATTTATTTTTAATCATCGTGGAGAACAGATAATCATGTATGATTATATCCTTGACAGTGATTAAAGTATAATGATTTCAAATATTTACATTTAAGCAATTGTCATACAATTTGCATGTGCCTGCCTTATCTCGAGTTAATATTTTTTATGCTAGGAGTGTTTACAACCATACTATTATCACTACTAGTGCGTCGACGTAAACAGAAGCATACTGATACTGCCAGTCTAGCTACAATATCAAAATACACATATGTATGTCGCAGTCATGACTGTATACGTGCACATGTGCGTTCAGGGACGAATAGGTTCCTACCTATTTAGAATTCCTCATTTCCTTTATTTACATTCGTCTGAAATAATGGATCAAGATTCGAAACATTTATGATTAACTTGTATTAAAAAATGTATAGATTTCATTTCTTACAATTTCAATTTTGTTTGAGATATTATTTTTTATTTTCTACAAATCACTTCCTAACTTCTATAACAAAATAATATTGCGTAATATAAAATCATTGGATGTGCTTAAGAATCAATTAAATCTTAAATAGCGGTGAGTAAACTTTGTTACGTTCGTTATTAAGTACAGGGTTCACTCTCATTGCAACACATCACTGTGTAATGGCCGCCTGGACTTTGTATCCCTTTCGTTGGCAGCAGTGTGCAGAATAGTATTCAGTGCGTCGTGTGAAAAGTAGTCGAGCTTGGCGAGGTCGCCTTCTGCGTTGGCACAGGGATTCGATTTGTGCATGTTTTTAGTTGCAGCCTCGAACCGAAAGATCCGCGTGCAACGTCCATCTCTGTGCCCGTTGCAATTCGATAGGACAGAAACAAACGTGATGAAGTGTGATTCTGTGCGCGAACATATAGGGCGTAGCCAGTCATTGTGCAAAATCGGCTGAAAACGAATGACGACAAGACGGTGCGTGACAGTCTGAGACTGCCATTGGAAAGGATATCTTGTTGTCTTTTTCGCACCTAGTGGCGATTTTGCGGACTCGCGGAGTTCACTGTATCATCGTCATCCTTTTCTTCTTTTCCTTCTCTTGCTTTCTCTCTCTCTCTCTCTTTCTCTTTCCCCTACCTCCTCCTCTAGCTCGTTATCCCTTATACTATTCAATCGTACTCTATTATACGCACTATACAGACAAAATTCGAAGACGTCCACGCATGGTGCAGCCCCAATCGCAACAAAGTTTCGAATTCAAGTACGAGGTAAGCTGTATTGACATTCCGTTTATTGTTCTCCCCTTCGACACTGTGTTTCGTTCGACATGAAGAAGGGGTTTACTACTACGTTCGATTGATTGGATCGAGTAAGAATGCGAATAAGGGAGAGATATATAATGTCTATGGGGGTGTGGATCTATCGGATGTCAGTATAGAGTAGTGGTTTCTGTGCTTCTGGCACACCCATCGTTGCACGACCACTGGCCAGTATGTGAATACGAACCGAGCGGAAGAACGAGTCTTTGAGTAAAAGAGGGAGAGTAAAAAGCCGGCATACCGCCGCTCTTAGACTTCGCTCCATTTTCTTCCTTATTGAATTATTTCTCTCCCAGGGATTTCACTTTGCTGGGCGTTTCGCTGATTAATCTCGCGGGAAAGCGACACGCAGCCTCGTACGATTTCAGTTTGCGATAAATGCTATGAAATTATTCTCGTATAGAAAGCGATCTTTGAACGTAATCTATTTCGCTGTTAAATACTCTCGGTTCTTTTTTTTTTTTTCTCGAAACATAAAATAGAAAAGACAACGGAAAGATAAATGGAAACGTGTCTTAAGTATTTACGTATGGAGTAGGAAACGAAATTCTGACGTACGCTTTGTTCCGACTGGCATTCGACTTTCTCGTACCTAGCACGAGTTTCACGCTCCTGTCACGGTGCCGCCTTGCGTGGCTGACCGTTGTTCTGCATTTTTAAAAGATGATTTTTTTATTTTTTTTTCCTTTTTTCATCAGGTCTGTTACGCAATTATTGAAAACATATGTTTACAGTTGGAATTACAGTTGTAATTTTTGAATAGAGTTATTAATTTATAAATGAGATTACAAGCTTTGAAGTTTCGAGATAATATCGTTTGTTATATACGCAGATGATAAGTTACGGAATCTTAGATATCAGTACATACATACATACATACGTACATACTTATACATATACAATAAAGCATAAATGGAAAAACAGAATACAATCGTAAGACAATTACAAACCAACGTGATTGATTTTTTAAATGCAAGATTTAACAATGACGTATGATATTTGTTTGTTTTTTTTCTTTGCTATTTGTTTATTCGATATATAAAGAAACTTTCCCATTATACGTGACGATACATTATTTATTAGCTGGTTCGTTAACATACATGTTTTAACCTTTCTAAAATATGAATTTTTTATCGTATTTCGGATGGCACTGATAACTGGCTGGTAAAACATACACGACTTTAGAGTCGCTGATACACCCACACACACACCGATTTAAATCATACGATTTATCATCGTTAAATAATAAATGTGAAAAACAATGTGTAATCTCCGATCGTATTTCTTAGAAATTTGATCTAGCCTTTATCTGTAATCGTTCGACTATTTTCATAATTTCCATCGATTCTCATCGTGCTTTGTACGTACGTATCTTCTTAATACGAGAGGAATTCGCTTCAATGATTCGATTACATGTGTATATATCGTTCTCCATAGGTGGACAATCAACATGAACAGCAGATGACTGTTAGCCGAGCTGATGCTCGTTCAACTTTAATATGAGTGAAGTAGTGGCCGTAACACCTAGTGGTGGATCGACACGCCAGGAAAGCGTGGCACACATCAAAAGACATAAATTAGCCAACTGTAATGTTCCTCTTGTGCATGGACGGTCAAATCCACCGATCAACACCCGTAATAGGCTGACCACGCATCAACGAAATCATAGTTTGGACTTTAGGTATATAAATGAAGTTATCGTTTACGTTACATATGTTTCCGTCATAAGAATATTTATCGTTCTGATAACGCGATTCTTTGGCTTCAGTTATCTACATCCACAGAGAGTTCTTGTGTTATTTATAAATATATAGGGTAATACAAAATTAATGCAAGTAATATAAGATCTCTGTCAGTGCGATGTAGATAATTACATGTGAATTTTAATATTTTCATATTTTCTTGTTTACACAAATCTGTGTGGTATAATCCACGTAATTACAGTGCTTTTAAAAACTATTTGCGTACGTTCTTATCTTCTAAGTTTCGTTTTTCCTTTTTTCCTTTTACGAAGACTTACACAAATCTCTCATAATGTATGAAATGATACGAAGTTTAATACATTCGAATTCAGTTAATTAATATGTAAATGCTGTAATAAATGAAATGAAATACTGCGTAACTGCGCATAAACGCTAGAATTGCAATTTGAATCGCTAGGAGTTTTACGATCAGAGCTGGCTAATTTGAAAATTCATTTGACTGCACTGATTGTGTTTGCAGGTCAATGGGTATTTTATTGCCGCCTGTACCACAGGCAAGCGCGACCACGCTGACGCACCATCACAGAAATCGAAGTCTCGATTCCGCGCTGCAGCGTATCCCGGAAGTGGACGTTACACCGAGTCCAGAATGCGAGACGACACCGGCTCCCGCCGCAGCTAAAGCGGCCGCGGTACCGGCGTGCAAAACTCGCAGCCGGGAACGCGACGATCTGGCCAGCCTCGGATCGGACGACTCTGGTATACTTTGTGGTTCCGATAGCGGTTCCAGCGACGCGACGAACGCCGCCACCAGGGAGTCGAGCGTCGATCATCTGCACAGCCGTGAGAGCCTCGACTCCTCGTTATCCCAGCCAGGTGATATGGATAGCGTGGATGTGGTGGACGGCGAAGTAACTAGTGTCCCGGTCTCAGTGTCGGTGTCGATGCCAGTGTCACCTGTGGAACTGGTGCACTTGAGTGAACCTTCAACAAAAAAGGATAGTGATTGTAGTAGTACTGCTAGTGAGCCGCATAAACACGAGAACACGAGCAGTGGTGATCACAGTTCGCAGGAATCGCGTTCCAATCATGTCTGTACGGTCAAGGAACTCGATGGCCACGAGTACGCGCACGACGAACAACGACGCACCGCTGATGGTGTGACGCTCGACACGCGAGACTTCCAAAATTCTATGGAGGTCTCGCCAGTGAACGATAAACAGAGTGAGCTGACCGGCGCGGCTATGACTTTGTGTTGCGGGACCGCTGTGCAATCGGAGACTAGCGAGGCTGCTGTGAAAAAGCAGACTGGTATCGTTTGCCGAAGGCAAGAGACAGTGCAACCGAAACCATCCGAGGGTTGTTTACTCAGATTATTCGAAAGCCAGATTTTTGACATGTCTATGGCAATCTCTTATCTTTTCAATTCTAAAGAGCCTGGCGTTCAGAGCTACCTTGGTAAGTATCAACATCGATTTATGTATGTGTTAGTATCATGTAATTAAATTAATACGATTTGCAATTATTTATCAATTTGTGTTGCCAAGATTTGTTTTTTGTATTTCATTGATGTGGATAGATTGTATAGCCCACAATATTTAAAGATATTTATCTTTAGCAGTAACAGTAACAAAAATATTTTACAAGCGACGAGAAATATATATAAAATTTTTTAGGAAACAAGATGTTTAGTTTCCCAGATAATGAGGTGGACTTCTATTTGCCACAATTAGTTGTGATGTATATACAACTTCATGATGTTACAGAAGTCCTTTATCCATATCTTGTCCATAGGTAAGTATATGTTGGTAAAAGAAAAGTAAAAGATTGAAGGGAAAATTTCACAAATAATTATTAAAACAATGTAACTTGTTTATTCACTAGATGTAGACAGTCTGCTGATTTTTCGTTAAAATGTGCCTGGCTATTAGATGCATACAGTTCCGACGCTCATTTGCCATCCAAAAAGAAATCTCATGGGACCAAACTAAAAAATCTTATTCTCTCAGATGAACTCAGGTAGTAATGAAATAAAAAAATATTATGAAAATATCAACGATATAAAAACGATATCATTTTTTCTTTCTACACGAAACATTAGGCCAAAAGGAAATGAGAATAAAAAACGTGTAACTGGATTGCAAACTCCTATACTATCATCATTAACTCCGATGCAAAGTATCACATCACCTAATAAAAAGACACACCAAAGATCTCAATCTGATGCCACTGGATTATTTCAAACTCTACGTCGTAGCCATTCCGGTAGATGAATTATGCAAATTAACCTGCTGTTTTATTGTGAAATAATAATAATAGAAGTAACAAATTTTATGCAAAGATGAATTTCATCATATTACGATTTATTTTAAGGTACCATAAATAAAGTAAGTCTTGGGGACCTGAGCTCTGGTCGAGCATTTGATAATGGTTGTACCTGTTTTTACTCCTGCCAAGGTGTGGTAAAT